CCATCAATAGGGATGGCGGACGGCGGGACAACGAGTTGAACACGCTCCACTATGCGTTCAAGAACGTCAGGTGCGTGATTATCGATGAGGTTAGCATGATGTCTGCCGACATACTTCAGAGAGTGGACTCGTGACTCCGCATCATCACTTGCAAATACCTAGAGCCATTCCGCGGGTTAGACATCATCCTCTGCGGAGACCTTCGACAGCTTCCCCCCGTTCGTGCCGCCGAGGTTTTCAAGCGCGTCAAGACGAACAGTGTGTTTAACACGGAAATCGCATGGCACCATTTGTCATACTTTGTCCTCACGAAGGTCGTAAGGCAAAGTGATCTCAGGTTCTCGACTATACTTACCAAAATTGGAGACGGTGCAGAATTGGATTCCGAGGAAATCCGATTGATCGAGAGTCAGTTCGTCACTCAACAACAAGCAGAAACGGGTTGTCCCGGTGGCATCCGCTTGTACTACTCCAACAAGGAATCGGACTACTACAATACGAAGATGGCCATTGCAACCGAAGATAATGCTGTGGCATATGCAGCACGGGACACAATCGTTTGATTCAGGTTTGTGCAGGACAAGACAGAGGCAAGGCGCAAGGCCGAAACACTGCCCAAGGCAGAACTCGGAAACCTGCCAGCTAATATAATGCTATGCATTGGAAAACCATATATGCTCACACTCAATGTCAATGTTTCCGACGGTCTGGTCAATGGATCTGTTGGAGTACTGCAATATATACAATACGACACGCTCCGAGAGCCGGAACGCATCGGGTTGCATTTCGGTGAGCTTGGTTCCAAAATTGCGATTGGAACCGTGGCGGCCGCAAAATCCCAGCAGTTACGGGCACTCGACAGAAATATTCAGGAAAATTGGACGCCTATCAAAAGACGCACAGTCACTTGCGTCATTGATAAGACGTCAAGGACATCCCTGAGGAGATGCCAGCTACCCGTTGTGCCAAGCAAGTGCTACCACCATTCACAAATCACAGGGAGGCACCTACTGTACTCGTATGCCAAGAGTCATCCACAGAAATTGGTATACGTGGCACTGAGTCGTGCTATAGACATCAACGGGCTCTACCTCACCAATGTGGACAATGACTTTACGTTCTACCACGGCAAGCCCAATCCGGGCAGGGCGCTACTTGATGAGTTTCGTCGGTTGCAGTCACACAAACTCCAAATTGTCACTGCTAAGTGCTACGCAATGATTGAGCAACCGCACTTCTTCTCGGTCGCCGCGCTTAATCTTCGCTCTCTGCCGGCGCATTAATGTTGGCTCTTAGCCGGCTGCATGCAACTGTACTTTGCCTCTCGGAAACGTGGATAGATCCAAAACAGGCGGTAGAAATCATGGACTACCAGTACTGCTGCGGCGTCAGTAGAGAGCACAACAGAGTGGCGGGAGTGGCCATCTACGTGCGTAAGGGTCTGTCTGCTGTACCCATCGAGATATTTGGCACGTCAGACGAAGTTGGAGAACTTTGTGCCGCCAAGTTCGACAACGGCTTGCTAGTGGTGGCTCTGTATTTCTCGCCTACAACACTCACCAAAGATGTGCATTTTCTGCGACTTGCGTTAAGCACACGTGGTTCCACACCCATGTTAGTAGTGGGGGACTTTAATGCAGACTTAAAGACAAATAAGAAATTCATACCACTTATACAGGAAAACCTCCCATTTCTCTCCCTCGTAACAGCTCCCACTGCTGTGACTACCTCTCGAAACACATGCATAGACCTCGTCTTTCAAAATCAGCTGTTGGTCAACCACCTGGAACACATATCTTGTCACTTTTCCGATCACAAGGCTTCCTTCATAACAATCAAGGACTGGAATAGGAGTGCTATTTAAAGTACCAGTATAGGAAGAGATTGCTCTATATTTGTATATATTGTGGGGATTTTGAACGTCGAACTTTGGCGACGATGTGAAGTGCGCGCTAGGAAGAAAGGAGGCGGAGAAGAACAAAAGCTGGAGAATTGTTCCCTCAGACGGTCTTGCGAACCTTGAGAAGTGTTATGCGGGCCACTCGGAGGAGAATCTACCAGCTTCGTTATCAGTTGGAGCGTACAAGTCGTACAAGACGAAGAGGACGAGGGGGACGATGAGGTTGAAGAGGAGAAATAGGAGGAGGAGGCGAAAGAGATGCCAGATACCTGTTGTGCAAGCAAGCCGTGTCATCATTCGTAAATAACAGTGGAGCATCCAGATGTGACAACTATTTTAGTTTTCGCCGGACAAGTGGTGAGCAAAAATACCACTATATATATATATATATATATATATATATAGATGTATATATATATATATATATGATACTTTAGTACGGTATATCGCAAAATCGAAATGCCTCAAGAGAGGAGGAGGAGGGAACGAAGGGGAGGAGGAGCACGAGTGGAGGAGAGGAGGAGAAGGGGAGGACGAGAGAGTACGAATGAGGAGGAGGGGCATACCCTCCTCTCCGTTCCCTCCTCCCCCCCCCCCCCCCCCCCTTCCTTGGAGCGCATTTGGAATGTAGGGAATGTCATAGCTCGGGGCCTCTTCCTTCCTTTGCTACTGGAACTACACAGTCTAAGTATCTAGAGCTTGAACATTTTTCATTGAAATTGAACACGGCCGACAGCGTTGTTAAGACGTCTGACGAAAACGTTGTAAACGTCATTAACACGTTTCAGACCGGCTTCGGTACATTTATTGTAGGTGTGTTCCAAGCATGTGACGACTTTCATGACCCTGTTCCATCATCAAGTATTGAAGTACATCTTGCGTCAGGTCTAAACAAATCACAATACCATGTTTGGGGTAAGTCCCTTATCAAGTTTAAGATGGTGTGTCTGCCTGTAGCTTCTCCAAAATGTCTTTTTCACGCTTGTTTCACTTACTGTAAGTGCTTTTTGGTATTATACTCTGCCGAGTGCCCATCTACTAGGGCGAAGAAAACCATCCCAGATTTAGTCTGGCGATCACGTCACCTTGAAACCCTTGTAAGCTTAGAAGTGAAAACGTATTGCTGCTCACGCACAGCAGACAAAAAAGTGGGCAGCAGTTTAACTTCTTACTGTCTAAGCATGGGTGTCAAGCATGAGCCCTGGGAAAACTTGCCCACTGCTTAACTACACGCTTTTTCTTTCATGTCCTGGTTGCCTGCTACACTGGAGAGGCTGCTGAACATCGTACCACGGCTGCTGGTCATGGTGTTTTAGCTAAATTAATAATGGGGTTTTCATCCAGGACGTAAATTGGAAACTCGCGGAGCAAACTTGAAGGTACATTGGTATAAAAAGTGCGTACGTTGGTTTTGGACGTTATTGACGTAAAGCTTGGCTGGATATGCAACGCAGTTTTCAATATGCACCACGGGTTTTCCCCAATCAATAAAATGTCAGCCTGCCAAAATATTTGTTCCGATTCTACATTTCAGAGCGCAGCTCTTAGGCGACCACTTCGGCTTGAGCGGCAAAGAAGACAGCAGTAGGAGGAAGGTGGAGGAGGAGGGGGAGGAGAGACGAGGAGGAGGAGGCGAGGAGCTTGAAGGATGAGTAGGAGGTGAAGGAGAGGGAGGGGGTGGAGGAGGAGGACGGGAGGAGGACTAGCAGGCAGGATCACGAGGGAGGAGGAATATACCTTCCCCTCAGTACCCTTTCCTCCTCCTCCTCAAGAGCTGCGCTCTAATTCGGCTTTCATTTTTTTATAACTATTCCAGGTGTTATAGTCAACTATTTTGACCTGATGAAAATACCCAATACCACTCCAGCACCTTGGCGCGGAAATGGTATTGTCGTTGCGTATCGTCATAGAAACACAAATTAGAGCGGCTTAGGGAACCCCTTTTGCATATCCTACACAGTACGATGGGCCGTCCGGTACGAACTGCGCATGTGCGAGTCTTCTGCGGTAGCGGATGCGCAGTTCGTACCGAAGGGACCATTGTGCCGTATTGCGGTGTCATCCTGACTGTTATCATGCTGTTGTGACACAACTCACGTGGCATACTAACCAGAGCCGCAAGTGGGGAAAGTTCGGCCAGTGGGTGTGGCAACGAGGGCGCCGAAGAGGAGAAAAGTGAACGAAAGGGAGGGGAGTGCTGAAGGAGCGAGAGAGAAAGAAGGGAGCAAAAAGGAGACGACCGCCATTTTGACGCAACACGCTTTCCGTACAGAGCGCTGTTAAAGCGACGCGTCGTCTGCTGCGGGTCGACTTCTTTTTCGCCTGTATAAAAGTTTGCGGTCAGACGTCGAGTAAACTTCATTCGTTAGCTTGTTAACCCACCGAGGAATAACAGTATATCATTTTCTTGCCACAGCCTGCAATATAAAAGGAAATAACCGTAATTTAGATGCCGATCCCATGCATTCCACCGGGCGAATCAATGAAAATGGCGGTCCTCCCCGCTCAGCTGGGAGCAGCCGGGAGTTTACGCCCATGCGCTCACGCCTCTCGCTCTGCGCCGCGGGCTGGTTGGCTCACTCGGGAGGAGAGCGTTGCGGCGGCGAGATCAGACTGGCCAAACTCTCCCCATATATGGCTCTGGTACTAACTGACCTGTGCCGAACAACCCGTTCGGCACAGGACGAACCGTTTGTGTAGAAACGACTCACTAAAACGCCCTGCTGTCTTTTTGAAGTCGGACCGCAGTCGGCGCTTTACGATCAGGAGGAGCCAATCCAGCAGCACCAAAAGTGCCTCGTCATAGTGTTCGTCGCCTTTGTGGGCTTCCAATTACCGGCTAAACGAACCTAGCTAGCTAAACGGCTGTACCATTTATAACGGGTGGTAGCTCCCGCCACCTAGAATATAAATTAGCCAATCACTGCGCGTGATTGGTTTAGTCGGTGATAGGCAGCGCATAAAGGCGATGAGCGCCGTGATAATGCACTTTTTGCGCCACTTGATTGGCCCATATAGATCGCGGTGTCGACTGGGGTTGGACTTAAGAAGGGGGCGATCAGGTCATCAACTGGTATGCGGCGTTTGTAACACGCTCGAATCACGAAATTCCGTTACCTGCGACGAACTGTTGCAGCTCCTGGGTACTGGTTCTCCCGGGTCCTCTGTAAGACTGCTTCAGGATGACGAAAGCTTTTGCCACATCGCTGTATTCCGGGTGTGGAACATCGATCACGGCTGCTTCTTCGACACCCTCGTGAGACAACAGAACGGCTTCGATTTCCGACTGGGCAACTTGCCGTTCCATGCAGTGAAAGAATTGCTTAATACGTTCTACGACGTAGAACCTTCCAGTTTCGTCGTAATAGACGATGTCCCCTGCAAATGGAATGGCAGCCGCTAGCCCCGACGTGCTTGGTTCTTTCAAACAGGGATATCTACACAGGTTGACTAATGTTCTTTTGTAGATAGTTTAGCGACATGGGGAACCAAAAATAAAAAAAGAAGGAGAGGGAGGAGGAAGAAAAGGTACCTAAATAAGAAAAAGGTATCATTTTTACCCTTCTAGAAATATGTTGGCCTTTAAAAAGGGCAATCCGCCAGTCGAGACAGCCGTTCTGACTGTCTCGGCGAATCGGGACCACGACTGGACAACGCGGACAGCGTGACGCGCGTGCGTTCTTGGACCTGAAGGGGGCGGGGGGGGGGGGGGGGGGGGAGGGGGGAGTTTTCTAACCAGTAAAGGATCCGGAAATCTATCACTTCGAGAGAGGGTTATGGCTCGCGGTGAATGCAAACGTGCGAACGGTGGTGATGCGATTTTACTTGTATGTACATTTTCTATATACTTGTCGTTTTCTTTGTTATACCTTCTGTCTGCTTCTTGGACTACTCACGAAAATCGCGACTAGTCGCCACCTTGCGGGGTCGGTGCTCGTGGAAGAAGGGAATGCTTACGCTTGTGGCACCTGCATCTTAGCAGCACGAAACGAAAAGGCGTGGTCCACTTCCAAGGGAAACAACTATTGTTCCACGCCGAGAAAAGGAACAAAAAAAGCTTTTAGGCGCGAAGTTCCTTGGGGTCTAGCCTTGTCCGTCCGGCGTCTGTGCTCGCATCGATTGCCATTTCATCTGTCTTCTTAAAAAAATAAAAAAGGAAAACATCTTTGCGCAGTCGACAGGATTTGAACCTGTGCAGGGAGACCCCAATGGATTTCTAGTCGATCGCCTTAACCACTCGGCCACGACTGCGGGACGAGTAGGGGGCTCTGAGATGTGGTAGTAACTCTCTCTCTCTCTCTCTCTTGTGTCCGTCTTTTTTGCGGAAAACCATGTATCCAAAAGTAACTCTAGAGCTGGGGATGTCATGGACGAAACGTTGCATGGAGCCGCTCAACGTCTATACAGGAGAGGGCGCTGCGGTCAAATGCGTAAATAATCGCGTTAGACTTTGCATGCATCGGCTCAACGTTTATAGACGGGAGGGCGCTGCGGTCAAATGCTCAAATGCGTATATAACCACGTTCCATACCACACAATATCTTTCTGACATGGACCGGTGACTTAAGCGGTGGAGATGCGTTCCCACGGTTTCTAGCGGATCCAAGCTGATCCGCTAGAAGAACCACTGGCTCTGAATTTCACCGACCATGAAGCAGTAATAATAAAGTCGAAACGCATCCCGGAACTCAGCACTTACTATGAGCAATAAAATAGATCAGCGCCATCAGCACTACCTATGAACAAAATCAGTATCATCAGCACCACTAGAGCTTCGCCCCAATCAACATCATTCACCACGTGGAGATGCGGTCATTTTTGTTTTAGATGCTCGAGCAAACTTCTCCAGTGCCCCTCGTTAAAAAGACCGTTTTTGTTTTTGGCTGGTTGAGGAGGCTCAACGTTGTTTTCTCGTTGATGTACTAGGACAAGACGCACATACTCGGATATCCCTAGAGACAAAATAAGAAGAACGAGTATATTACGGTCCGTTTAGACTGATTTATACATTGATGTAGATATTAAATCATTATTAACTTGTAAAAAAATGTCCAGTATTCGATACGGTACCTGTTCGCAGCCATCCCTCCGGAGTGATCACTTCAGCAGTCGCGTCTGGGTTGTTGTAGTAGGCTCTCATATTTGTGGGTGACTTAACCCAGAGCTCGCCGTGTTCCTTGGGTCCGAGAACTTTTCCAGTGTCTATGTCAACAACCTGTTTTTTTTTATTATTGTTTAGAGGACAAGGAGTTTATATACATAAAAGACTATCTCTATTGCGTGCATTAATTCGTTACATTTCTGGTGAAATATTTGTTTGAATGTGCCCGTCAAACAAGTCAGAAGCTAAAACATTATATACGAATTTTGTAATGAACTAACCTGGCCAGGAAATACAAGAACTTACAAGAAATGAGGTCAAAAGCTGAAGTGCACTTAGACGGTTGGATGCGGCGATCGCAGAATCAGGAAACGCTTTTCGGCCCTTTTAGACGATTCGTTAGTGTTCCAGGCCCGAAATGTTTCCTGATTTTGTGTTGGCCACAGAAAATACTAAACATTTAGGGACAATGTTGTTTTGATAATGTAAGAACTAATCGAGCCCTAACATGATTTACCTAAATTCGGATGTGTTTATTATACAAATCATGCGATCTCTTTTATTTTTTATTTTTTCTTTTTAACAGGGATTCACCTACCATCATTTGCACATCTGGAGCCGGGAAACCGATTGTTTTGTATTCCATTGTGTCGCGTGGCATCCAGGAGATCACATTCGAGAGTTCCGTTGTCCCGTACATGCTCCTGAAGCTTTTTAGGCAGAACGCTGAAAATATCGTTTCTGCGGCCTTTTCTGTTACGCAAAGGGCAATGACTACTACGTTCCTTACGTTGGGAAGGCGTATTCCACTCTCAATACTGTGCGCGGCAAGCCGGTGTATGAATGTGGTGCTAGCAAAAAGCGTTGTGATCTGCAGGCAAACAAAAAAAAAACATTAACCGCAGTGATAAATACAGTGTTATAGTTAAAACTTGTATTTAGAAATGACCGTCGCCGTTCCATCCCTGTTGCTCTTACAAACTCCTTTTACTCTCTTACATGCTTCTGCACCCTAAAATGTTCAACCGAAACAGATGGCATTTTTTTTACAGTTTTCCAAACCGTTCGACCGCGTGCCGCATCGCCGTCTAATATCTAAACTTTCCCCACTCCGCATCAACCACCTGACCCTTTCCTGGATTCAGAAGTTACTTTCCCTCAGACAACAGGCTACCGTAGCCGGTAATTCACTTCTGAGCTTTTAGGTGTAACCCCTATGGTTCTGCAAGGTATTCTCCTTCGCCCCCTTGTATCCTAGTCTAGATTAACGACTTCCCAAAGTCACTAACATCAGATGTGCGTCTATTTGCTAACAATTGAGTGCTATTCAAAAATTTTAACAATCCTGATGATCCCCTGCGTCTTCAAAGCGATGTTTACCAAGTAGTACGCTGGTGCTCTAAATGGCAAATTGCCCTTTACAGTGCTAAAAGCAAACTTGTTTCATTCACCTTTACACGAACTTAGACTTCACATATTCACTTAACATTTCGCCCGTCGCCGCCGTTTCTGCTAGCGAGTACCCCGGTATTTAACTCACCTCTAACCTTTCTTGGGTACCCCATAGAAGCACGATTACCGCTAAAGCATCCTGTACACTAGCTTACTTAAAGCGCAATCTAAAATCTGCTCACCTTCACCTTCGTAAATTATCTTACGAAACAACTTCCGCCCGAAATTAGAATATCTGTCGCCCGTCTGGTCCCCTCACCAAACATATCTTATTCTCAAATCGAATGTCTTTAAAATCGATCTGCTGGTTTCATTTCATCATCGTAGTCGCGTTTCGACAGCATATCATTAATTAAACAAAATTATTCGATTTCCTTGCTGAAAACGCCCTGTACGATTTCTCTTCTATGCTTAATCCACAGACAATGCTATAGCCTTGTGGAACTTACTGCTCTCTTCTAGAACTACTTAATAAAGGATCACGAAACTTTAACACTAAGATCGTCAAGCATATTTTTGGTACAATATTAGCATTAATCAATTCTGCCTTACCACGTGCCATCAATCTCTAAAACGATCTTCCCGAAGCCATGGTGTATTTCTGATCATGAACGTTTTCGGTCAGAGATAACAGCCATTGTTTTAGCATACATAACAGCGTCAGATCCGTTCATCCATTCATTTTTTTGAAGATTAAAGCGAGCTGAATGTGTTTTTTAACTGAATATTAACAGAATATTGGACGTCTCCTTTTACAACATTTGAGATAATAATGTATACATTTATGTTTCGTTTCTAAGTTTACGTGTTTCGCATAATACTTACTTGTGTAATAACTATGACCTATACTGATATCTGTGATATTGTACTGATGCTAATATGCAGTGAGGTATGGGCCGTAATTTATTGCTCATGTTTGTATCCGAGTGTATTGCCCCCCTCGTCTAATGCCTAAAGGACTTTGAGGTATTTTTATTAAATGAATAAATAAACTATATTCTTGTAAACTCAGAAATCCACGATATGGCCACAAAAGAACTGAGAAGGCTGTACCTCAATTTACTTTTGTTGTTACTGATACTCCTAGTTACTGATACATCCAGGAGCTAGCGTAATGGAATTGCACCAGCCAGTTAAGTGGCGGAGAGGGAACCATAAATAGCAGATTGCCCTCAAACCTGGGTTTGATTCCTCTCTGGTCTTTGCGGTGTCCCTCGGAGTGCCACGTTTTATGTATAAATTTGGGAGTAAATTTGAAGAAATTGCCAGAATCGAGCGTTTCTTAACAATTACTATTTCCTTTCTTAAATTAGAACCGCTCTCGCATTTAACAGCATGGTGTAGTTATTCATTTAAAATGGCCGTGGTTGTTCCCTAATAAAATTCATAATGACCAAAACGGACCAAAAATTTGCCCTCTAATCTTCTCCTTTGTCGCTGTTTGTTGAAGCAAGATTTCATTCAAGATGCCTTTGTTGCTGCGACAATGATTTTATTCGAAGCGCTCTGCTATTCAAACTCTTAGGAGAGGTTAGAAAGAGCTAACTGTTGACAATGAAGCAAATGCTGATCCTGCAAATCAGGTTTTTACCACATACGACCCACGGCCTGCATGCCGGACGTGCTGCAATTGGTTTGTTTCGAATGAGTGTCGCTGATTGATTTCGGTCACCAATCAAAAACGTTCAAATGGAAATCTTAAAGCTTGTTCAGACCATACTTATGGGGCGGATGAGGACCAGTTAAGCTGCTTGGGTAGGTTTCTTTCCTCGGCTCCCATCATGCTTACGTGGTGATTAAAGCTATTAATATTATTATTGTTATTAACTTCCGATGGCTTAAGCAAACTGCTCATTGAGAGAGTTACCCAGTGACATACTCGCCGAACATAAAATCTCGTTCCGCAGTTTTAGCTCTCCAGCGTCCAAGCTTGACCGAGCCGTTTCTTTTCTGAATTGTGCCGAAAAAACTATGTGCCGATGAAACAGAAACTGCCAGGACCATAAGAGGTAATTGTTAGTCATGTTCAGGAATCTTAAAAAAAAATGAAAGCCGTTTACAACTCCCTGTAACGCCGAATTAGAGCGCAGCTCTTGAGGACGAGGAGGAGGGAAGGGTACTGGGGGTCAGTTGACCTCGGGAGGGGGGGGGGGGGGGCACGTGACGTCACGTGACATGGGAGATCACGTGACCTCGGGAAGGGGGGTCACGTGACGTCACGTGACCTGGGAGATCACGTAACCTCGGGAAGGGGGTCACGTGACGATGACGTCACTGATGACGTCATCGGCATCTACATCGTCATCATCACTGATGACGTTATCGGCATCCGCATCGTCATCATCACTGATGACGTCATCGTCACGTGACCCCCCCAGGTCACGTGACCCCCCCTAGGTCTTCCCGAAGAAACCCGAGGTCCTTTTGAAATCCTCCCGAAGGAACCCGAGGTCCTTCCGAGGTCTTCCCGAAGAAACCCGAGGTCCTCCCGAGGTCCTCCCGAAGGAAACCGAGGTCCTGCTAAGGTCCTCCCGAAGGAACCTTCAGGAAAATTTACCCATAATGCACCGCGCGGTTACGCCGACGGCGACGGTGACGCCGACGCCGCTCAAGCCGGGAACGGGCGCCTAAGAGCTGCGCTCTGAAAAGAGCTGTACGGCGAAGACGGAAAGAAGCCGCTCAACACCGCGACTTTTCGCTTTTGATGGAGCCTATTCGTTCACTTAATCGTAAGCACTCAAACACTTCGTTATAGCTGCGTGGAGAAGGAAACAAGCAAACGACGACTAAGTGTGAATTAGATTTATAACTCGAGGAAGAATACAGACCATTTTGTGATATCACATGCCTGCATGAATGACATACTCAGAATACCGGCACAGGCGTTTAGTAAACATGTAACGAGTGTTTGTTCATGAATTGATTGTGATTTTTTCACAATGATGAAATCGCGTCTAAAGAAACGATGTTTTTCAACACATGTGGTTATTGAAAAGTACCATGAAATGGTATTTAGGCTTCAAATGTAAAACTAAAAGCATCATTTTCGCCCAACTAAACTTTAGAAGCATTTCTAGAATTTTGACAAATAAATATTTTTATATCCATCGAATGTCGCTTGGAACAGCCGAAAATGGACTGGAACTTTCCGGAAGAGCACGGATCGGTAAAAGGAAGAACGCGGCAAAGCGGGTTTGAACTTCGTTTCTCCGCGTGGCAGTCGCGTGCGGTTCCAATTCGCCCGCAGCAATAATAACAGATACTACAATACTCAGTTTTCTTTTTCCCAAATAGACGAACTGTTCTACCTTGTTCTTTCGCACGACGTCCACCATTTCGTCAAAGCTTGTTTCTCCGGGAATAATGACGCAGCTGGCGCCGGAGCAGACAACCCTCATGATCATTCGGAATCCAACCGTCTGTGTGACAGCGAACAGCGCTCCAACGGTTTCTGTCTCGTCAAACATCATGTTGAGCCTGAATTAAATCGGAGCGATTCAATAGGTCACTCTGGTGTGCAGCTCCGAACGGCAACATGGAAATACAACGTGCTAACAGTATAGCAAATCGCCACTTATGAAAAAGGAGAAATCAAAATTCAGAGTTCTTGCTTTGCAATAAGGATTCTAAGATATGTAGTTGAATCTACCTTCCAGTTAAAAATAAACATGACATACATAGTGCACTATTGAGCATCCTTGCTAGTTGTACGTTTGGGGAATCAAAAGAGGAAAGTTTCCCGGGGTATATATGCAGGGTACTTTTGAAAAAATCTTTAAAAATATGCTTTTCAAGATTTAAAATAAAGAATAAGAAATTTCGGGAACAAGTTATTGTTCTTGGCTGACGTCAAGAATTAAATTGTGAAAATCATGCAGTTTAGCAATGAAATTAACTAAAATTCATCCTTTTTTTTTAGGTAGGGAAAGTAAACATGTGGTTCCACCGAGAAACTTGCTGAGCAGCGCTCTAAACAACAGGTGTAGCATTTTACGGCGTTCTGAAGAAGCGCTCGGTTTGGATGTGTTTCCAGGTTTCAGTTTCTTATCGGAGCGCATCTTCGAGCCCGGGCTCCTGCGGCGCGAAGCCACCGCCACCGAGACGCGCACGTGTGTTGCGCGTCTCGGCCACCGGGGAGCAGGACCGCGGGCGCAGAGGTGCGCTCCAATATGAAACCGTAACCTAGAAACGCGTCCAAATTGAACGTTTTTGCTGAACGCAGTAAAATGCCCACTCGCTGCCTTATATCTTCCTAAAAAGAGTTTATTACGTGGTTTTCGATGATGCTTAGCAAGGTTTTCAGTGGAACCATACGTTTATAGTTCTTGCATCGATAAGCGGGTTCAGGAATAATATCTTTCTTGTAAATCTGAGCAGCATGCATGGTATATATAACTGGATCGGTTAAGGTATCTTTAA